GCACTAATCCCATTCATGAGGGCTCCACCCTCATGACTGAGTTACCTCCCAAAGGCCCCACATCCTAATCCCATCACCCTGGGGATTTCAACATGGGAATTTGGGGGGGACAAACACATGCAGACATAGCAGGTAGAATGGAGAGGAGGAAGAGAAAGGGGCAGCCAGGAGCCTAAGGATTTGAGAGAGTGGGGAGCCCTGGAGAAGCTGGTGAAGGAGGACGTGCTCTAACTCGGCCAAGCGGTCACATGGGAGCCACTGCACTGACACAGGGCAGTCAGGACAGCAGCACAAGGGCTTGGCAGGAACTGGCCAGGTTCTGGATTGGGGCTTAAGGCACTGCCAATGGGACTCTCCAGGGGGAGGACTCACTGGGGGCCCCCAGAGTTTTTGGCCTGCACAACAGAAGGCTGCAGCTACCAGTTACAAGAGGAGGAAGCCAGGTTGTGGAGAGGTGAGAAGGATCGTGGGCTTGGCCGTCCTAGGAGCAACACGTCCCAGGACAGCATGGTCCCTGGGGCTCCTCCTCCACCAGCAACACTTCACCAGCCCACCCTGGGGTGGACGGTACTTTCCAGAGCAGGCTGTACCATGCACATTCCACCCTTCATACTGGTCTCCCAAGGTGGGCTTGACATGCCATCGAGAGGTGGGCTCTGTGTCTCTTCCCTAGAATCCACCCTAGAACCCAGTCGGGAGTTCCGAGAGCCATTGAAACATCGTGCAAAAACAGTCTGAATTGACATCATCAGAACTCTGGAAAGTAGTCAAAGGTTTATACCAACCAAGAAAATGGTGACTTTGGCGTGCTAGGAGAGTGGGGTGGCGTTTTCACTGGCCACGCTCCACCACCCTCCCCAGGACAGTGAAGTCTTGAAGACAAACAGCAGCTGTCATTGCCCAGGTGGGTGGATGGCTGGTTCTGGAGGGAGCAGAGTGGACTTCCTCCCCCCAAGGAATTGTGTTTGTCTATTTTGACCTGTCTGGGTCAAGAAACGTTTTACCTAACTCAGAACTCTCTCAGGGCAGAACAGTCGCTAAGTAAAGGGTGTTTCTTGAAAACATTGAAAGTCAAAGAATAAGCAGCTGCCAGCTGGGGCGATCTGATAGTCAGCACTTGTGAAAAACCCACAGCTAACATCATGCACTCGGTGGCTGAAAGTTTTCTCCCTAGGATCAGGAGGAAGACAAGGACGTCCACTCTCGCCACGTCTATTCAGCACAGCACTGGAAGTTCTAGCCAGGGCAATCAGATAAGAGGGAAAAAAGCGTCTGAATTAAAAAGAGAGAAGCAAAATTGTCTCTGTTGACAAATGACACCATCCTATACATAGGAAATTCTCCAGAATACACACAAACACACACACACACACACACACACACACACACACACAACTTTTCAGAGCTAATAAATTAACCAAAGTTGCAGGATACAGGATTAAAAAATTTTTTTAAATCGTATTTCTATGTTTAAAAAATTGTATATCTATATATTAGCAGTGAATAATCTGAAAAGGAAGTTAAGAAAACAATTCCATTTACAATAGCATCACAAAGAAAAAGTGTATTTAGGAATATATTAACCAAAGAGGTACAAGACTTCTACCCTGAAAACTACAAAACATTGTGGAAAGAAAGTGAGAAAGACCTAAATATAGTCATGTGCTGCTTAATGATGGGGATATTATCTGAGAAACACATTGTTAAGCAATTTCATTGTTGTGGAAAGTGTATCACAAAACAGAACAGCAATGAATTTTCCTGTTATGTACACTGGCCACTAGTTGCATGAACGTGGGCCCTCTAATTATGTTACTAAGTCTCTCTGTGCCTCACTTTCCTCAACTGTTAATTGAGGATTAGAATAATGCCACCCCTACAAAGTTATGAAAATTAAGCTATAGGTAGGGATTGTGCCTGGCACTCTACAAGAACTCAGTGAGTGGTAGCTAACTATTAACTATTATTTTGTTGTGGGGATGGGTGAGGATTATTTAAACATGCAAGAATTCTAAAGTAGACAACAACCCTTTTACTCGAGGTCAGACCTATGTGTCAAATTCTTGGCTTTCTGTCTTAAAGGTCTGAGCTATCTTTGGGAGGGTCACCTTGTGGTAAGCTAGGGACTCCTCCCCAACTTATTTTGCAGTAGGTTTGGTTAAATTAGCATTGCCACAAACACATGAGTAACGCGTTATGACAGCTACAACGTCAGTAGGTGATAGGAGTTTTTCAACTCCTTTATAATCTTATGGGACCACTGTCGTATATGCAGTCTGATGTTGACTGAAACACTGTTATGAGGCGCATGACTGCAAATGGGAAGACATCCTGTGTTCCTGGATTAGAAGACAAAGCTGCTAAGGTGGCAATATTTCCCAAAGCAATCTACAGATTCAATGCAACTCACATCAAAATCCTAACAGCTTTATCTGCAGAGATCGAAAAGCTGATCCTAAAAATTATATCGAATTGTAAGGGCCCCTGAATAGCCAAAACAACCTTGAAAGGGAAGAACAAAATTGTTGGAGTCATGCTTCCTGACTTTAAAACATACAAGGGTTCCTCAGAAAGTTTGTGGAAAATAGAATTAAAAGATAATGCAATTTTTTATGAACTTCTTAAAGTCCCCTCAAACTACAATCCTACATCAATTAAAATAGTGTGGCATTGGTAAAAGAATAGACATATAGGCCTGTGCAATGGATTGATAGTCCAGAAATAAACCCATACATCTATGGGGAACTGATTTTTGACAAGGGGGCTAAGACCATTCAATAGGGGTAAGAATAATCTTTGCATTAGCTGGTGCTGGAATAACTGAATTTCCACATGCAAAAGAATGTGGCTAGATCCCTACCTCACACCATTTACAAAAATTAACTCAAAATAGGTCAAGCACATAAAGGAAAGAGATAAACTATTAAACTCTGAGAAAAACACATAAATGTAAATCTTTGTAACCTTAGATTAGGCAGTGCTTACTTTGATATGACATCTAAATAAATTGGACTTCACGAAAAATGAGAACTTTTGTACAACAAAGAGCACTATCACAAAAGTGAAAAGACAACCAATGCAATGAAAAAAAAAATTGCAAATCATATATCTGATAAGTATCTAGTATCCAGAATATATAAAGAACTCTTCCAACTCAACAACAGAAAGATAGACAATCCAATTAAAAATGGGTAAGTGACTTGAATGGACGTTTCTCCAAAGAAGATATCCAAATGGCTGAAAAGCCCAGAAAAAGATGTGCAATATCATTAGCCTTTAGGGATGTGCAAACAAAAACCACAATTAGATACCACTTTATGCCCACAAGGATGGCTAAAAGAAAAAAGACAGAGAATATGAGGGTTGGAGAAAATGTGGGGAAACTGGAATGCTTGTGCATTGCCGGCAGGAATGTAAAATGGTGCAGCTGCTGTGGAAGACGGTATGATGGTTCGTCATAAAGCTAAACAGAATCACCATATGACCCAGCAATTCCACTCCTAGGTGTACCCCAAAAGACTTGAAAACAGGTATTCAAGCAAATGCTTGTCCAAGAACGTTGATAGCAGCATTATTCACAGTAGCTGGAGGGGGAACAGCCCAAGTGTCCATCCACAGATTCACAGATGCACAAAACGTGGTTCATCCATACAACAGAGCACTACTCAGTCTTAAAAAGCAGCAAGGCACGGACACGTGCTGCGGCATGCACGAACCTGGGGGACGTCATGCTCAGCATGCACGAACCTGGGGGACGTCATGCTCAGCATGCGCGAACCTGGGGGACGTCATGCTCCATGAAAGAAGCCAGACAGAAAAGGCCACACGGTGGAGGATTCCATCCACATGAAATGTGCAGAATAGGCAAACCCACAGAGACAGAAAGCAGATCGGTGGTCGCCGGGGCTGGGGAGAGCGGGAATGGGGAGTACGGGCCACTCCAGGACCTCAGTGCGTACGAGGCTTCCTTTTGGGGTGGTGAAAATATTTTGGAGCTAGACAGAGGTGATAGTTGCACAATTCTGTGAATGCATCAAATGTCCCTGAATTGTACACTTTAAGATGTCTAATTCTACGTTATGTGAATTTCACCTTGATTTTTAAAAACTTCCGTTTTGTGCATGCTCTCTCTCTGTTTCTCTGTCTGTCCCTCCACACCTCTCTGTGTCCATCAGTCTCTGTCTCTGTCTCTTTCCTTCTCTCTGTGTCTGTCTCTTTCTCAGGGATTCTGTCTCTCTCACTGCCTCTCTTACTGTCTTACCATCTGTCTTTGTCTCCCTCTCTCTGTCTCTTGCTGTCTCTCTCTCTGTTTCTCTCTGTCTCTCTCCCTGTGTCTCTGTCTCCCTGACTCTCTCTTCCTCTGTCTCTGTCTCTGTCTCTGACTCTCTCTCTGTCTCCATCTCTGTCTCAGTCCCCCGTTGCCTGGGACCCAGCCATCTCTCAGTAAGGGAATCCCAGCCAAGAGCAGAGTCACACTGATGTCCTGTGCACAGCTGGCCTCACGCAGCATGGCTGTGAACAGGGCGAGCTGAGGGGCAGAGGCCAGCCCTGCCCGCGGGTCGTCCTCTTCTTCCCCAAATCAACCCACGGCTCCAGCACCCTCGTGCCTCGGTGGATGCTGTTTCCCCGGATGGAGCCCCTGAAACTTTCCCTTCCTGTGAGATTTTTTGGTCTTTGTATTTTCTCTCCAAGACCTGCCTAAGCCCCTGGCTCCTGGGAGAAGCCTACCGCAATTAGCCTGGGTCTGATCATCCCAGAACTGTCACTTCCCTTTTGGGAAGGGGGAAGGAGAAGGGATATCAGGGATCCCATGAGTCCGCGGCATTTCCAAGCCCCAGACAGTCCCCTCGTGGCGGTGCCCATGTGCTGGAGGTGCCATCTCCCCCATCCACAGACAGGGACACCAAGGCCCAGCGGGATGGAGAGACAGGGCCCCATTCTGGACTCTACCCCCGTCCACAGCCAGTGCCCTTCCACCCTCTGCCCACTGCCTCGCCTACCTTTGTCCAGCACGGGACCGAAGATGGCCAGGCTGTTGTTGACCGTGGTGCAGTTCCAGCGGCGGCCGCGGAACTGGTGCTGGCACTCCTGGATGCCGACCTTGATGCCCTCGGCCACGCCGGGCATGATCTCCACATAGTTCCGGCAGAAGCGCAGCTGCTTGGGCACCAGGCCGGGGATGCTGGCGCACAGGATGGGCTGAGTGCCCAGGGAGGAATACTGCGGCCCGACGGCAAGGGACCTGGCGAGGAGGAGGAGGAGGAGGACGAGGTGGTCAGCGCGGCCAGCCCTAGCCCCGCCGTGCCCCTGCGAGCCTTCCTTGGGGGAGCAGACCGACCAGACCCCTTGCTATGGGGGCAGGAGCGCACCCAAGGGGCCAGACACAGCTTCCACCATGAAGGAAATCTGATTTTAAGGAGAGGCCAGGACCCTGCCCTACCCTGTACCTGAGAATTCACTCTAAGTGAACGGCCGGGATGTGCAAGATGACATGCAGGCCCCGCACGGCAGTTCCCTACGAATGCTGGGACCCCGTTCACACGGGGCCGAGACAGCCACACCTGAAGCCACGGGCGAGTGCAGAGGCGGGACCCGGGGAACCCAGGGCGGGTGGTGGCCGCTGAGGGGCCTCGGGGTGGACCCCAGGGCAGGAAGGCTGGGTTGGCTCCATTCCAGGCTTGGAGGATGAAAACTGGCTGCCAGGGTGCGGGCATGACTGCCAAACTCACGCCCACCATGCCAGCCAGCAACCCAGCGTTTGGCTATTTACCCCAAAGATGTAGACGTGTATCCAAAATAAGATGTGTTCAAGAAGAATGACAGGCCTGTGAGCAGGACAGTAGGCATTTCGAAGCCACCCCATTGCTGACCAAGAGAGCAGATCAGTCAGTAGGAGAGTGGCGCGGGATGGCGTGGACGCGGACCGTCATGGGAAGGGTTGGACCCAGGCTCGGGGTGCTGAGGGGCCTGCTCCACGGTTCCACTGACGCGGCCAAGAGCGGGCGCAATTCATCGGTGGGCAGGAAAGCCAGCACCGAGGCTGCCTTGTTTCCCACAGACACATTTCATGTCTGTTGTAGGAAATTCTCCAGGGCTGCGGCGTTGAGTGGCTGCGGTGCTCTGGGTTCGGTTGGGGTGTCGCTCATGAATTGAACTGTGCGCTTAAAGTCTTCCATTTCACTGTCCAAAATTACACCTCGATTTAAAAGACCAAGTCCTTTTGGGGACTGGAGGGGGCCAGAGGAGAAAGAGTTTCTCACGGTGACCACTACCTGTGGACGTGTCCAACCCATCTGACCCGACCCCCAGTGCCCCCGGTCCCATGCATGTCCATGCACTGGAGACCTGGTCTCCCTTGAGCTGGCCTCCCTCCCTCCTGTCCATCCTCTGCTCAAATGCTGTGAACTCATGCCAGACACCCTGGGCAGCCCCGGTCCCCGCCCAAGCCGGCATCCCTAATGTGCACACCATTGCAGGGCTGGCTCACTCTCTCTCCTCCATTACTTCTTTCATTCCTTGAGGGGTCTACAGGCCAGGCATGACCTGCCCCAGGTTTCTGCAGTCCACCCGATGGTCCTGTAGACCCCAGTTTTTCCAGAAAGGCCAGCTGTGATACAGGCTCAGCGGATGCTGTCCACTCTTGATAGCTGTGTGAGTTTTCCCTGCTGGCTCTGACACCACCTGCCTAGGGAGGTCCCTGTGTTGTGCCTTGCATGGGACAGCTCACACTTCCCTCTCTGGCTGGAGACCACAAAGAGCCCCTGTGTGCCACCTGGGTGCTTAGCTTCTGGCCACTGAATGGACCATCCAGGGCCCCTTGGGGTGTGGTCTGAGTGGACACAGGCAGGACAGAAGGAAAGCTCCTTGCCCAGCAGGTGCCCTGGAGCAGAGGGGACAGAGGACCAGGGAGGAAAGCTGTGGCCATCCCTTGTGCCCCCTGCCACTCTTGGCTGACCGCCTTGCCCATCTTTTTCTTAACAAAACCAGAGTCTCCAGGTGTGTCTCCTGAGGGCTCATTTGCCCCATAATCTGGTCCGGCTCCTTGGGAAGCTTCATAGCACCTTCCATAGCCTGGAGTCCATTTCTCTGACCTCCCTGTCTGTCCTGGCTGGTCACTCTCCAGGCACCTCTGCCTCAGACCAAGAAAGGGCTGCTGCAGCCAGTCCTGTGGTCGCATCAGGCCAGGGAGGTGACTGTGGTGGCCAGGCTAGTGGTTTTCAAACTTTGCATCTCAGAGCACCCAGGAGCACCAGTGTAGGTGCCCCACGGGCCCCGCGTGTGAGGTGAGGCTGGGGGACAACTGTCCTGGTTTGTCTGAGACTGAGGGGGCTTCCCTTTCAAGCTGGGATGAGCTGGTCTCCCAGGTAAGGCTTCACTTCAACCCATTCTACATGGTGACACCCCACACGGGTTGTCATTTGTACAACGTCAAACGCTATTAGTGATGTGCTGGCTGAAGTGTTCAGGGCAAAGGGGATTGACATCTGCACACAAAAAAGAAGACGGTAGACGATGCACAGAGGGGCAGGTCAGGTACAGGGTAACCAGGCGGAGAAAAAATGTGAGTTGTGGGTACACAGGTGTCTCCTGCCCATGTCCTGCATCTTTTCTGTATGTTTGAAAATTTTCCTAATGGAACGTTGGGGGGAAATAAGGTTTGGACATCGTGACTCAGGCGTCAGAGAAGGGCTGGGTCCTGTGGCTCTCGGGGTCCTGTCCGGCTTATATATGGTTGACTACAGACTAGCTCACAGCCAGGGAAGGGGCGAGGGGCATCCAGGAAGGAAGGAAAATCTTTACTAGTTGAATGTGTTTGTTTACTTGGAGAGTTGGAACAAACAAAGGAATCCGTGTAGAGCAAAAAAGAGGACTTGGCCTCTCGTTGTCTTCAAAATAGTTACTGCCCAAGGAACGTGGCCAGTTGCAGGCGGCTGGCCCCCCGCCCCCCAGGCTGGGAGTCATTCTGTGGTGGTTGGTCGAGGCAGGGAGGAGTGGCTTTGTCCCTGGCCTGCAGGTAAAGTGGAGAGGGGGACTCCCAAGCTTACAGCCTCTCCCAGACTCCTGCTGCGGTGCTGAGTCAGCGTGCCTGGCTGCCTGCTGCCCTCCTCCCAGGCAGGTCCCAGCTCGCCACCTCCCCGCGCGTGACCAGGGTGCAGGCGGCAGCTGCCAGCCCAGATGCGGCTGCAGCGGCTCTGGCCTCCACCAATCCTGACTGGATCCCTCCTGCTGCCATGTCCTCATGGACTTGGGGGTGGGGGGCTTCTTCTGCCTTCTCCAGATCCAAGGACCCCTTGAGTTCCTCGAATTGCTTCCTGAAAGGTTTCTCCTTCCTAGAGATCCAGGGCACTGAGAAGGCCTGGCCGTGCAGACCTGTCTGAGGAGGGTGTGGAGCTGTTGGGGCTCCCATCAGACGGGGGGGGGGGGGGGGGAAAGGTTAAGGGGGCACTGGGCGGCCGGATTTCATCTGGGCTTAGAAGGATCAANTGGGGGGGGGGGGGGGGGCAGGGAAAGGTTAAGGGGTCACTGGGCGGCCGGATTTCATCTGGGCTTAGAAGGATCAACAGAGTCCTCGAGAAAGAAAGCCATATAAAAAGTTCAACCTTGACATGCACTATTCCCCACCCCTGAAAGCCCCCAGGTTCCAAATTTCTAATCCAAGGAGGATGTAGATGCCCCAAATCGACCCATACTTGGAAAATCACGATCTATAACTTCCTCTTCCTATAACCTTCTGGGAGGAAGTTGGGGGGCTGAGGGCTGGGGTTGTGGGCCAGGAGAGGGGGAGGGTTGGAGGAGCCCTGGAGGGGAGCGCTGTCCACAAGGGCCGCGGCAATTCTGGACCAGGCTGGCCTGGGCTGGTTATGGACACACAGGCCTATCTCGGGGTCTCACCAGGAACAGTGGCACCACCGAGTGGGGGAGGGGCTCCGTAAACCGAAGTCATTCTGTGGGGAGGAAAGGGCGTCCAGCCAGTCATTGTCCCCTCCTCTGAGCACCTACTCTACGCCATTCTCAGATATTCACGAGACACCTAGACCTTCTGAGACAGACTCTTGGGGTGGGGTTCAGCAGTCGGTGTTTTAACAACCCCTCCAGGTGATTCCAATACAATCTCGATTTTAGAAAACACTGATCTAAAGCTGCACTAAATCAATATGTTTGTTTGCAAAGTTACAG